CCCTAAACCCTAAATCCCCTAAACCCTAAACCCTAAACCCCATACCCTAGACCCCATACCCTAAATCCTAAACCCTAAACCCTATAAACCCTAAACCCTAAATCCCCTAAACCCTTAACCCTATACCCCAATAAAGCCTGGCAAGGCTCCTCCCCGAGCTGCAGTGCCGCTGGCCAATGCCAGCTCAACGCAGCTAGGAACTCCTTTGGCTTCATTGAGCTATAGTCTAAGGGTTTTCAGGGTTTAGGGTTTGGGGTTGAGGGTTTTGGGTCTAAACTCCTAGTATCCCCATTAATAATGGAGAATCAAATGGAGGGGTTATGGTCCAAAGTCCTAGCATCCCCCTTAAAAGCCCCTATAGTAGTCTCCGGTATAATCCCCTATGTAGCCCTTTTTAAAGCAATTTAGACTATGGCTCATGGGGTTGTGAATTGCCCGCGTGGCCGAAGCAGAACGCAAAACAGCAAAACCAAGATGGCCTGTGCCTTCGGCAATTCATTCGTGAGGTGTGCATCTGAAGTCAACCAAACCACAACTTATGGCAATGCGTTGAGATATTGGAGGCCGAGCATTCGGGGGCCAGATTCGACTGTTTCGGGAGACAGAAAAAGGCAACAGCAAATACTGGGACGCGAGCAAGCGGGCAATGGGCTTCACCAACAGCATGCAAGTAAGGCAAGAGTGCGATCAGTGCATCATGGCTTCCATCAATGACAAGAGCGACAGGACAAGCAAAAGCGTCTGCAACAAGAATTGCAGCACCATTGTCGATGATTCCTAATCGACATGCTAAGGCTAGTAGGAATACCCGTAGAGTCTCGCGGCTGCAGTAGCACCAATCGAAACAAGAATGACTTCTAATGACCATCACAGTAGAGCAGGCCGTAACAGGTTTCATTGTAGAACAGAAAAAATGCAAGACTGACTCCAGTTATCTTCAGGAAACATGGTTTTCTGCAGTTGAGTTGAAGTTGATCCCTTGGAAAGCGACTTCTCACCTGCGGCTGCCTGGGTTCAGCTGCAAGTATGTGGGGATCTTGGTTGTGGATGGTTGTGGGACCTGGGAGCGGGATTTCAGAGACTAGGCAAAGAATCATAAGACTTGTCATGATAGATACATGGGGGGTGGCTTGCAGACCTTTGCATGCTTCCTGTCAGTTGACGACAGCAGCTATTGCCTGCATACATAGAGCTTGAAGCTGCGGGGTTCAGGATCCCAATCAGCACATTAGGCTCCTTGTAGGTCATCTTCTTGAACGTCTTGAAGATCAAAGTTGTTGCGCGCTCATCAGGCAGGGCCATCTTACCAGCTCAGGAGTATTAAGCTGCGAGAGACCAAACTCAGCTGAAAATTTGTGCCGAAGGACTGCAAGAAGCGATTGCAACAGGCCATCAAGTTTGCCGATAGCCAATCATGTGCAAGAACATGCGACAACAACGCCTGCACTCGACAGTCGAACAACAAAGGTGCATCACAGAAGAACAGGCGTCCCTGTGTCTGGACTTCACTTTTGTTTGCAGGAGCCGATGGGATGCAAGAGCTGCTCCACACGACTGACACAATTCCAAACCAGCACCTCGAAGTTGAAAGAGAACCAGTCAACTAAGTGTTGTGCAGAAATTGGGTGTCATGTTATGGGTGCTCCTGGTTGCAGGCTCAAGCCCCCACAGTACTTAGGTTTCTGGGTGCGAAACGGTAGATGTGGACGGCTGTTGTCGGTGGGAAGGTATAAACCACTTACAACAACTCGCCAACCATCAAGTACTCCAAAATGCAAGTGCAAGTGCAAGTGCAGGCAACAGTCAGGGCCTTGTGAAGAAGAGGGGAGCTGGCATGAAGTTCAGCCTTCAAACATCATCTGGGTAGGCACCAAATCTACGATGCCGCCTGGTGGGTGCCACATTCAAGATTTTGTCAGGCTGGGAACATAGACAGACCACAACTTTGGCACACACTCATCGTTCACAAATGCCAAGAAACTTTGGGAAACTTCTGGCTGCCACTAAAACTCACAAGACATACCCACCACGCCGGATTCTGTAGTCAGGAGCTTCCCTACAGAGGTTCGGATTGCAGGATCCCTAGCTACAAAGGGCAGGCGCTGCTCCTCACACTGATTTCAACAGCCTGTTGTCATGACCGTCCTTGCCCTTTTCCGAATTTTACCACTTTGCACAACCAATCGAGAGTATATAGATTATTAATTATAGTAGTTTCCATTTTCTTTTCCATTATCCCTATATAACCCCTATTATATTATTATAGTAACCAATCTTCTCCAAGAAAGGTCTCTTCGGCCTCCCTTATTCTTCTCCGTCTTCTATGGGTTCTGCAGAGCCCCAAGACCCTGCTGGGGCCTCCCTACTCCTCTTCATCGGGAAACATGGTTACTCTCTGAAAAGGCTGCCTCCTGGCCAAATCGCACAGCATCCACTGCAGAGTCTTCACCACGCCTTGGTTGGGCACGGCAAGAAGACTTGAATCGCTTTCAGGAGAGGTCGCAGAAACAGCAAATGGCAAGAGCTACCAAAACCGCACCAGGAAGCACAAGCAAGACTTTCCAGCCCTTGTGCAGCACTTAGTCCTGGACCATGCTAGCAAGCCTGGATCCACGGGCCGGCGGTAGAAATCCTGGCTGGCATGTCTGATAGGATGAGCTTCTTTCTCGTGCTGGTCTGTTCTCACGGGGGTTCGGACCAATACCAGCAGCCTGTTGGGGGTGAAAACTTTGTGCACTCAGTACAATTCTGACAGCCGTGGCATCGGAGTCACTGTCGACGCTGGTGCGAAAGAGGCACATCTGCAAGTTGACATGGAAAACAATCGGTTGCGCCGATCCCAGCATCTGAAAAAATCAGAGATCTTGCTAACAAGTACCACGAAGATCTAAAAGGGGTCATGACAGTCTACGCCAACAGATGCCTGGCTACACTCTAGCCATTTCGCGAAAGGCTGGCTTGCTTGCTCAAGCTTGTGCTTGCTTTTGTCCTTCAAGTTGAATTTAGGAGTCACATTCACCAACCTCTCGGACATTGCTACTTGCCTGACCCGGGTACACAACCGTGGACTTCGCAACTTCCGTTATAAGCTGAGCCGGCATCAGAATCAACAACCTGATGAAGTCCTACTTATAAGTGTACTTCTCATCCAATGATACAACTGTCATGTGGCTCAAGGCTTGGTCATGTAGTACTAATAATACTAACAGTACTCATAAAATACATGACATGGCCTCAAGGAAGTGCAGAGCATTGCTGCTCAAAGGATGGGCCTGAGTGCAGCGAAATCACCTCCCCCCCTTGTGAAATGACCTGCTTGCTGTACTACATGTTCCAAGCCATGAAACCCTAAGCAGTATCCCTTTATAGCCCCTATATATCCCCTATTATAATGTAGTAGTTTCCATGTTCTTTTCCATTATCCCCATTATAACCCCTTTATAATATAACCTCAATATATCCCTAGTTTGCGCACCTAGCGTCCTATCATCTTCTAGGAGCAATCAAACGCTTTGAAAGGCTTAGGACATCTTCTTGGCTCAAGCTTCAAACATCTGCAGAAGAGATTTTCGGGTGGCTTCCAAAAATTCGGGGTGTGTTTTAGAAGTCCTCATAATAGCATCATACCCACGCCCATCAAGATATCTG